ATCTCGGTGATCTCTTTCTCTGACAATAATGTAGGTTAATGAGATGCCAGTGTTTGGATCGTTGGTGTTGCCACGAACCCTTGAACGTATCGGCCTGCCTAAACAAGGTATTGGTGAGAGTGAGGTTGTGTGTAAAACACTTGCTGAGGAGGAGTAGGCCATTGGGATTATACTTGCCAAATATCAGCAACTCTGCAAAATCTGACATTAAAGTCACAAAGAAGCACAAGCTTAATCTTTTCAGGGGATAAAGGTTAGCACTCTGTCGAGGGCGGCGTAAAAGGCCTCTTTGATGACATCCTCTGCATCCAGTGTTGGGGCGTTTGCACTGATGAAAAAGACATGACGTGAGTGATTCAGTGGGACTTGGAGCGTCATGAGGCGCTTGTTGATCCCAATAGGCATTTCAGTTAGTGTAAAATGCGTTGGCAGATGGCAAACCCAACTCTATTAATGCGGTTTCTCTCCAGAGCAGGCTTACCCTACCAGAAGAAGGTATAGCCAGACCCCCGTTCTGTGAGTTGACCCTCGTCTGGGAGCCGGGACTCACTAATTTCTGCTGTGTCGATGTTATACCTAGTCAGCTCTTTTGCCATAAGGGCAATTCTTATTTTAGGATGCTGATTTGTGCCAGTATCCAGAAGGGTCCTGACTTTCCATGCAACGACCATAAGAGGTCGTATAGTTTGTTGTTGCTTGAATCAGTGATTTTGATTGTGTTTTCGACTGCATAAGGATGACGACCTTTCTGGGTGCGGTTGCCCAGTCAGTTTGTTGTTTTAGGCAGGCTATGTTTAGGACACCTTTTCTATCCCCCTCCCCATGTGGGGTTAGCAGAGTGGCTCCTCGAAAGGGCTGCTCAGTTGCACAGACAGGACCGGATTGCACTACTGGCTAGATCCCAGTGCATAAACGACCATCTTATCTGTGCCTTTCATGTGCAGAGTTGTGGCTCGAGACTCCCGGCAGTCATCTCTGCCTGTCCCCATCGCCACTCGCCACTTGTTGGAGTTCTATAAGCATGTCTACAGTACCTGATGCAGGTACCAGGACGTGTCCACATGCCAGTGGGCCTATGTGCTGTCCCTCTGAGGCCCACTGCTACTCCGAGATCCCCTGCTGATCTAGCTTGGGCCCACGAGGCACCCAGTTACCGTGTGTTGCCACGAGGAGGCACAGCAGAAGTCTTGGTGGTGAAGAGGCTGTGTACTGGCAGGGGAAGACTTATGCAAGTTGCTTCCCTGTTCGTCACGAGGGCTAGCCAGCAGCAGTAGCTGAAAGCGAGAGGGAGCAAGCAGTGGTTACACCTTAATGCTGCCACACTAGACGCATTTCACCACCCTGTGTGCTAACACACACACAACACAACACACAACACGGATATGGTATGATCTCCCGTCTTTACTGCTATCCAACGTCACTTCCCAAGCTAACAAGTTCGACGAGCTGGCAACTACAGTCAGGTCAGCCGCCGCGAGCGTCGTTGCCATATGTGAGGCTTGGCAAATTGTTCCTGAAACGTGTCATATTGAGGGATATCAACTCTTTCATCACCTTCGTTCACATAGACGCGGAGGGGGCGTTGCCCTCTTCTGTCAAGATGACCTACGCCCGTCACGCCTGGATGTTCAAGTCCCAGCAGATGTGGAAGCATTATGGGTACGTGTCGTGCTACGGGCCCACCCGCGCAACACTGCTTCCATCATAATCTGTGTGGCATACCATCCGCCTCGCTCACCCACCAGAGACACTCTTATCAATCATCTCATCACCACCTCAGACCACCTCAGAGTTAGGTACCCATGTGCCAAGTTAGTATTATGTGGGGATTTTAATGAAATTGACACCACTGATATCCAGGACCAGCTATCACTATCACAAGTTGTGACCTTCCCCACACACGGTCAAAATACCCTTGACCTTATCTTAACTGACTTAGCGGACCAGTACCAACCACCTCAACCAATGCCTCCTGTCGGGTGTAGCACACACTTATCAGTGCTCTGGTCCCCAGCTGCCACTCCCACTCAAGTACAGAGACCCTACATCAAGACCTACAGGCCGATTACTGACTCTGCAGTGCGCCTCTTCGGGCAGTGGATAGTTCACCATCCCTGGACTGAAGTACTTAGCGTGGATGACGTGGAAACCAAATGGATAAATTATACCAACACCACCACGGAAGCTCACCACCACTTCTTCCCCGAGAAGTCCGTCAGATCTCACCCAGCTGACTTGCCCTGGATCACACCTCGGATCAAAAGACTTATGCAACAGAGAGACAGAGCCTTTCATCTCAATGACCACATCCGCTACAGGTCCCTTCGCAACCGAGTCATCCGCGAAATACGCACTGCAAAGAAATCCCACTACCCAACCAAATTACAACACCTGAAGCAGACCAACATCAGTCAATGGTATGGTAAGCTTAAAGCACTCTGTGGACTAAACAATAAGACACACCCCCTCCCCTTCCTTAGCCATCTCACTAATGTTGACGCAGCTGAGCAAACAAATAACCATTTCCCTACTATATGCCAGACGCTCCCACGGCTTGACACAACCACTCTCCCTGCTTACCTACCAGCCCCCCTTCCCACTGACTTAGTAGAAGAATTTGAAGTAGCAAAACGCCTGGACAAATTAAAATTAAAACGCTCTACCACCCCCATTGACTTACCAATGAAACTCTTCAAGGAGTTCTCCCCGGAGCTTGCTAAACCCCTATGCTCCATCATCAATGCTTCTCTCAGTCAAGCCAGATGCCCAGCTGACTGGAAGACCTCTTATGTATCACCAGTGCCCAAGTCAACCAGCCCACAATCCTTAAATCAGCTACGACCTATTGCAATCACCCCAATACCCAGCCTAATCTGTGAAAGTTTTGTGTTCGACTGGGCTTATGCTGATATTGCAGGAGTCGTAGACCCTCAGCAATTTGGCAACATGAAAACTTCCTCCACCACTCACTGTCTTGTCAGCTTTCTCGATTACATATACCGCCATCTCGAGAAACGAAAAACGTCTGTAGCTGTCGCCTTCATTGATTTCACTAAAGCGTTCGACCTAGTCGACCACAATATAATCATCAACAAAGCTATTGACCTCGGGCTTCGGAGAAGTCTTATACCATGGCTTACAGACTTCCTCAGTGACCGACGCCAAGCTGTACGCTGTACTCACCTGTGGCGTCCCCCAAGGCACCAAGATGGGACCACTCTGCTTCCTTATGCTCATCAATGATGCCCTAAGAGAAACCCCTGCTCGCTGGAAATATGTCGACGACTCCACCATTGGGATCAGCGTCAACAATTCTGCTCCCAACTATACCGACTATACCGCCCTTCAGGATTTATTGAACAGTCTCCAAAACTGGGCCACCAACAACCATGTCACCATCAACCATACCAAGACCATGGTTATGCACATCAACCTCTCCTCCGACATTGTCCCACCTCCTTCCATTACTCTAGGTCCGAACACACTCCAGGTTGTAGATTCCACGAAGCTCCTCGGCGTCACCATAGACAACAAACTTAATTGGAAACCACACGTCAGTGAAGTTATCAAATCCTCCAGTTTCCGTCTTCACCTCCTACGCCGACTCAAGTCCCTCGGAGTTCCTGCACACGAGCTCCTCAGTGTTTACACAACATTCATACTTCCCAAGCTCACCTATGCCTCCCCCACCTGGTCTTCCTCCCTAAATGCCACACAACGTAAACACCTAGAAAAAGTGCAAAAGAGGGCATGCAAGATTATTATCTCCCCTTCCTACTCCACATATCAAGAAGCGCTCAATACACTGACCCTTTCGACTCTCACTGACCATCACCACGACCTCATCTGCAAATTTGGTAAGAAGCTTCTACACCATCCCCGACACCGGCTCCTACTACCACCTGAGATCCCTAGTCCGAGAATTGCTGTTCGACACCACAACCGCATCCAGCCCATACGTGCACGAACTGATCGCTATAAGAACAGCCCAGTCCCAACCATTGTAAAAATTATCAATAACTTGTAATAAATCAGTGTATTCACTCCCAGTAAACACTACTCCTTGCACTGTCACTTTGTTGAAATGAACTGTAGTTTGAGCTTTTCCCCATCTAGTTATTATATGTCTTATTTGTGTCACTTATGTTACTTGTATATTATTTGTAATTCGTAACCCATTCCCCAAATATGTAACTGTATATTTTCAGCCTTCTGGCTGCCAAGCTCTTTCAATAAACCGTTAATTATTATTATTATTATTATTACAACACAACACACAACGCACAACAAACAACACATAACACACAGTAAGTAACATGCAACAAATAACACAACACACAACAAGCAAACACACAATACACAACGCAACACACAACAAGCAACACACAACACAACACTATATTTTCAGCCTTCTGGCTGCTATGCTCTTTCAATAAACCGTTAATTATTATTATTATTAACTCACAACAAGCAATACACAACACAGCACACAACCAGCAACACACAACACAAGACAAAACACAAGAGAACACAACAGAATACAACACAAGAGAACACAACACAAAAGAACACAAGACAAGACAACGCAACACAACACAACAAAAGAGAACATAAGAGAACTTCAAACAATATAATCTAGAGTGCTTAACCAACTAAGCATAACACGTCACAGAGTTTAGCATGTACGTATATAGATAGAAGAGCAGGTATGCAATTTCCTATGCACGAAAATAGTTCGGGAATACAAACAATGGTAAATAATAAAGCAATTAATTGACGAAGATTACCCATCAAAGCCATCAAATACTTATTTTCATTAGGGTCATTTGCTGAGGCTTGGTTTCTATTATATATCAGAAATAGCAAATCACTTCAATGATACAACGGTCTATGGCTAACTGTATATAATAATCCTCCTATTTCCTTCAATGCAGTGACACGGTGTCCAACAATAATGTCAGAATCTGAGGTGCTTAAGAGGTAAATGAAAATGCTAATACAGGGTAGATCGCTGACTCCTGTCCCTCCTACAAAGTAGGTAGGTGGGCTTGGGACGACCTATACCCTTTAAAATATTTCTACTAAACTGCGTTAGTAGAGCGAAGCGTCACCAACGCTCGTTATTTTCCTTACTCATTAGTTTAAGGCACACACGAAGTGAACTTGGAAATTTTCGATTAATATGAATCATTTAACAAAAAAAAAATACTGATATAAAACATTTATGTAAATATTTAATAAATTATATGTTTATGAAGATTATTAATAACAGTGTATTTAATATATATTTTTTTACTTATTTTTAAATATAGTTTTTTTGCAAAATATATATAAATAAATATATTTAAATATATATATACGGACATATTGATAAATTCTTATTTGAATCTCTCCCTTAAAAGGACTTCAAATAAAATTATTAATGCTGATTGCTGACTAATAATTGTGTAGCAAGAATAATTAATATTATAACTACTCTTCAATATTTGTTAGATAATTTGATTTGATCAAGAAGTCTATACAAAACAAAGTAAGAAGTTAAAACTACGATTTCAAGGAAAACAGTAAAAGATGAGTAACTTTTATTTTTTCACGACCTTTTTTTACCTTGTTAAGCCCTTAACAGTAACCTTAACTTTAATTCAAATTCAAATTCAAAACATTTATTGACAAATACATCAAAAAGAGCTGGTTAGCATGCTAACTAGCCCGCCCAAAACTAGTGTAGTGGACTTCTCCCCTACAAATGCGTAGCCGCAGCCACCAGCTGCTACCATCTTCCCTAGCAACCAAGCGAATTCCTACACTAGTCTTAACAAGAGCTCTTTAATATTGTGCTAATCATAAATCAGATATGTATACAACAAATAGATATGCATAAAATGTACAATCTTATGTTAAACTTACAGAATACCGTAACTTTAATGCCTGTCTGCGTCTGTAGTAAGATTTATTGTAAATGGTGCATGATATTTATTGAAAATCCGATAGTCGTAACGAAATAGTGCTAAAAAGTAGTAAGTTGAAAAGTAGTAAAACGATAAAAAGAAAAAAGGAGATCTAATGGAACAAAATCTCTTAGTTACCGTTCTTATATTTCCTTGTGTTAGAGAAAATTAAGATAGACGGCTAACTAAAATAACTTACGTCCAGTTTATCTTTCACCTTTAATAGAAATTGCTTTGCTCTGCTTTGTTTTGCTTTACTCTATTCTCTTCACCACTGGTCAGCTCTCTAATTAGCGGAGTTGTAAAATAACTAAATAAATTTACTTTAGTACTGTACTCAAGTGACATATTGGGGTATTTTTTTAAAGTATTCAAATGTTTCAGTGCTTTTACTTTTGCTTAAGTGTGGTTTTCTAATACTCTTACTCAAATACAATTTTTAAAATAAATTGTTACTCCTTACATGCAAACTAACAATATATTTTTTAATTAATTAATAAATTTTTAACCATAGTAAAAGAGTAGTGTGGTTGGAGGCTATGGAGTGTACTGACCACTGTCGTACATGTTAGTTAACGTAAAATCAGACATTTCATATTACGCTCAATAGCCCATAAAACATGCAGCTATAACTTCTTTATTGAGTCCCCCAGTTGAGAGCTCCATTTTCTCACCGCTTCAATATGCCTGAATCCTCCGTTTTCTTTCATGTAACTTAGAGACTCTGATATTCCTTAGTATCGCATCTCATTTTATAAAATTTGAAATTGCAACTGAATGTGTAAATGTTATGTCAAATTAGATATGTCTGATTACAGATGAAGCATTCTAGATCCCTTTTGAGTGATGCTGAAAGCTTCAACTGTATTTACTGTTTGTAAAATTTGTCAAATAAGTGAGTGTAGAGTTTGCCAGTAGAAGTGACGAATTCCAAATATCGCCCCTGAGTGCTAAATTGCTACTGAAGTTAGATCATTTTGATTCCCAATCATCAGAGAATCTAATGTTTGTATCAAAATTATTGTCAGTTTTCTATTTTAGAAAGTAATTAATAACCTGAAAAGAATATGTCAGTCTTCTTATCTCCAAGATCTAAGGGCAAATTCTCAGTAGGCCCTTGTCTAACTTTTTGATGAGGTTGTAAGAAAGACGTTATCAGCTCTTGCGTTTGACGTTCCTTTCACTATTGCCTGGCAAATCCAAACTCTGATTAGCTTTTCTTTTTCTTTTTTTCTTTTTTTTGCGGGGATTTTTTTTTTGGGGGGGGGGAAACCACCCCTCCCCCCTACATCCTTGTGTAAGGTGAAGCGCAGAAGCGTTTACAGCGCCCAACAGGGAAGCATGCTAAGTTCATGCTTGCTTTATATCTCATGAGTTTAAGGGCGTAGAAGCCTTGAAGAGTCAATGGTTTTATGTCCCTGAATACGAATTCGCAACTTTCGATTTACAGCAGGTATCTACTTTGCTGCTAGGTGAACAGGGACCAAGGGGACTAGGAAAAGTGTCCAAACAACTTCTTCCGGCCCCGGATTAACCCACCCGGGTACAGGTCACTGACCCACATTGGGACCTGGGGGGAGAAAATGTAATAATATTATTATTATTATTACTATTAATAGTAATGATAATAATAATAATAAAAATAATATTAATAATCATGATAATAATTCGTAGTAAATAAAATTTATAATAAAAAGACAAAATTAAAAATAAAATAATAATTATAATAAAAATAATAACAACAACACTGTAATAATAATAATTATAATAAAGAAATATAAAAATGAAAAAATCAATAGTGAGAAACGATATATGTATGTTGTGTTGTTAAATGTTTAAATGAGGCAGAAAGTCAGACCAGCAACCTGGGATTTGCACTTCTGGAACGCTGGCCGTACTGGTCGGACGTGCAGGTCGCTCTCCTACACCTCCCTGGCTGGACACGTAGGGTCATGGCTGGTGGAAGAGCTTCAACGAGCAGGTCGTTTAATACAATGACAGAATTGGGTGGTGGATACAGCAGTCACAGCAATGTAGCCCAGGGTACTGCTGGAGGACTGTTGACGGATTTGGAGCTGTCTAGCAGCAGTGAATGTGAAGAACAAGAGTCATTTAAAGTTGTTAATAGCAAAAGGAAGAAGAAAATGCTTAATAGAGAGGGTTTAGATGGCAGTAACTCTTCAAGGAGGCCATGCCTTTACTTCCCCAAGAATAATGGCATGGATTTTCATGATAAGGTAAAGTGGTCAGTTAGACTCACTAAGCGCCATCAAGGGTATCAAGTGCTCTTTAAAGAAGGTAAACATATTCCTTATATTATTGTGAAGGATGAGGAAGCAGTTAAATATTTAACTCCAGTGTACTGCGCACATCATTGTCATTCCTAAAAACCACCTTTAATTCATATTACTCTACATAACATTCAAATCCACCGCGCTTGTAGAATCTCAGAAAACGGGAAACATTGATAAAGGATAACTCACCTACTCAATGTTACTGAATCATGTGTTGTATTGTACCTAGGTACGGTTATATAATATCAATTGTATTTATTCATAGCATTAAGGAGAGACGTGTTTTTCCCATTCGTTTTACACTCAGGGTCCCTCCCAGTAAGTCCCACCTTCGAACACAGTTATCAATGCGTTTATTCCACTTCTCCTAGCCAGCTCCATCATGAATTAGTTTAGGTAAATCAACTTTAGTAATTCGCCAGACCTTTGTCAACTGAGGGTCATCCTTGAATGAGTAACAGTTGGGTTGTTTGTAATTTCTGTCATTGCGTGAGTAGCGATCGCTGGCAACTCAGGGGTATATATACCACGGGTAAGGGGGAGAGAGCGTCCCATGACTTCCTCTCCCGTTTGTTCCCAGATCGAGGGTGGGCTTAATTGAAACCCCACCGGTCGCTCGGAGCCGGTGGATATTCAGCAGTGGTCAATATAGGAGAGATGGCGCTGATTCTTTTACTTTTATCCTCTTCGCCACTGATCGGCTTGTTAGCCGCTTGGGCGATCGGTCACGTCTCTTTTCCTTTATATTCTTCACCAAAAGGTCGGCTTGCTAGCCGCCCGGGCGATCGGTCACGTCTCTGTCACGCACTGTTGGCAAATACTGGGCATGCACCGGCTCCTGAATGTACCTGAACCCGCTCCAGTGTTGGTCAAGTCTTCTCTTGAAAGAGCTCACACTCGGTGCCGTCACAACACTCTCTGGTAGATTGTTCCAAGAGTTTACAACCCTCACTCCGAAAAAGTTTGCCCTCACGGTTTTCTGGACTTGCGGCTTCTTCAATCTTGAGCTGTGACCCCTTGTGGGGCGAGCGTCCGCCAGCTCCAAGTAAGGACACTCAACTGAGTAGTGCCCCCTGAGATGCTTATAAACCTCAACTAGGTCCCCCCTTGCCCGTCTGTAGTATAAGCTAGGCAAGTTCAGGCGCTCCAATCTCTCAGGGTAGCTGAGATGCCGAAGTGCAGGCACCAGTTTGGTGGCCCTCCTTTGAACATTTTCAACCAACTGACAGTCCCTAGCATATCTCGGGGACCAGATGGGGTGACAGTACTCCAGATGGGGAAGCACTTCACTCCTGAAGATCGTCACGAGGGACGGACCGTCTAGATATCTGAACGACCTTCTTATAAGACCCAATAATTTATTTGCCTGATTTACCTTCTTCTCACAATGGCCCGAGAACTTCAGCTCATTGTCAACATACACACCTAGGTCCTTCTCACACACAGTCTCAACTAGTACATTTTCTTCATCCCGTTGGGACATATGGTACGCCTCCTTACCGTTGGTACGCCCCAGGTGCATCCTCTTACACTTCGTGACATTGAATCTCAGCAGCCATTCCTTCGACCATTCCTGGAGCCCACAGAGGTCCTTCTGCAGCTCTTCACAGTCCGCTTGGTTCTTAATTTCCCGAAATAACTTGGCGTCATCGGCAAACATTTGTATGGAGGAGTGTACAACGTCAGGCATATCATTTATGAAACAAACAAACAACAGCGGGCCCAATACACTACCCTGCGGTACCCCACTTGTTACAGGTACAGATGACGATTTCGTGCCATTAATCACCACACATTGCTTGCGGTCATGTAGAAAGTCTTCTATCCACGCTAGGACATTTCCCCGAATTCCGTACCCTTCCAGTTTGATTTTCAGCCTTTCGTGGGGTACACTGTCGAAAGCCTTGG